TCGACCATCACGAAGTAGGTCCCGCTCGAAGGGTAGACGATGAAGCCCGCGGCCTTGAGCCCGTCGACCAGGAGTGCTTTCTTCACGCCGTAGTCCCGCTTCAGCTCCTCAAAGTAGCTGTCGGGAGCTCTCAGGGCTGCCGCCGCTGCTGATTGCATCGGCGTGGAGGTGGCGAATGTGAGGAAGGAGTGCGCCTGCCTCACGCCCCATGTTAGGTGCGGCGGTGCTATCGCCCAGCCGATCTTCCATCCGGTCAAGGAGAACGTCTTCCCCAGAGAGTTCATGGTGACGGTCCTCTCATACATGCCGGGAATAGAAGCCATTGATATATGATCCGCCTCGAACGCCAGCTTGTCGTAGACCTCATCAGCAAAGAGCAACACGTCATTTTCCTTGCAGAGATCAGCAATGAATTCAAGCTCCTCCCTTGTAAACATTTTCCCGGTAGGGTTGTGAGGTGTGTTGATCATTATTGCTCTGGTGTTCTTTGAGACTGCGGCCTTTAGCTCTTCAAGAGGGACTGCAAAGTCCGGAGGGCGGAGTGTAATGGCTTTGACATTCGCACCAGCCATGGACAGTGTAGCCTCATAAGAATCATAGAATGGAGCAAACAAGATCACTTCATCCCCAGGGTTGATCAGACCCAATATCGTTGCAGCTATTGCTTCTGTGCACCCAGATGTAACAGTAACTTCCTTATCTGGATCGATCTGCAATCCACTGTCCTTGAGAAATCTTTCAGCAACAGCTGAGTTCAGTTCAGGCACACCATACCCTCTTGCATACTGATTTTTCCCAGCCTTGATAGCCTCAATAGCAGCTTCTTTTACAAAGTCAGGGCCATCAAAATTGGGAAAGCCCTGACCAAGGTTTATTGCTCCATGCTTCACTGCAAGCATGCTCATCTGTGTGAAAATTGTTGTTTTAAACTTCTCCAACCGCTTCGCCACCTGCAATACATAAGAGATTAAATCACAAGCTCAAGTTTATATATACTATGACAAGAAATACAACTCTAACTCGTTTAAGAATGGATACAAACACAAGAAAAACCTATATTACTCAATAAAACTAGAATACATCGAAGCAAAATTTATGTTTAATCCTATCATCATAGAAGTCACAGAAGAATCCCTGGACATCTGGTTCATGCCAGTTGAACTTTAACAATACTTTACCAAGCATGAAAGTTATGCATCGTGCTGTACACATAATATGTTTGTAAAGTGGACAGGTTTTACAGTTTTGACTGTTGATTCGACATTACAAACGGTCGTGCCTTGGCAAAATCCAAGGTTCTAAGCAACAGTTTGGCTGACATTCTTATGTCCAACCTCTCTTCTGTCATCTATTTTGGAGTACCCAGACTCCGCACGCATACATAATAAAAAGAGAGAGATCAAAATGATCAAACTGCTCCAAACTCTGCAAAACAAAAGAAAATCGCGCAACCAGCAGGAGCTCTACCTTTTCATATAGAAGAAGAGAGTTGACCAGTTAATAAGGAAAACTGTCCGAAAACCGTCAAAATCTGCAATTGGGTGTAAAAAAATGTTCCTTGATTTTCTCTAACCAACATGCTATCCCTGGCGTCATGGCTGGCAATACCAAGAAACTAAAATCACCTAGATACAGGGCATGCCGGGTTATGGCCATGATGAAGTAGGACAATCACAAAAGTGGCACCATTGTTTTTTGTCATGCACTCATGCCGATTTTTAGCCCTACATTATACAATATTGTACCCTTTCGTGCTGCACGAATTTCATCGGAACTCAACATTCTATCTTCCAATATGGCTTTCACACAAGTGTGTATTTTCAATTTCCCCGTGGGAAAAGTGTGTATTTCACTTCACATTTGTAGGTACGAATTTAATAGGAACTAGACAGGTATGGTCAGAGCAAGCATGGAAGTAGTAGTTGATGAGTAATAATGGGACTGACCAGCAAGATGCGAATTTGTGGTATTTTGGATGGTCTGCCACTTTCTAATAAGTTAATAAAATCCAATAAGGAATGACCAACAATCTACATGCATGCTAAAAGTTTGTTTCTTTCTCCTAAACTTGTTTTGTTCCCTGTCTGATGTATATAATTTCCGGAGGAAACCCCTTTTTTTCCGTTGAACATAGACCCAATTTTTCCCTTTTTTTTTGATTCCTTAGAATCTTTTTTTTGTCTTTCTGGCGGTATCAAACAGCCACCTAATATCTTATCCGCCTCTCTTTTTTATACATAGGTCGTCGATTCGGCATTGGTTAAAAAAGGGCAGGGTGCCCCCTTTTTTTCTCTCTAGTAAATAGTTCAAACCATTTTATCGATATGAGTGTTCTATATCAGATAAATTTTACATTAGCTATTTCCCGTGGGCTATGTTCTGCATCATAAGGGCTCCTTTGATTCAAAGGAATTGCATAGGATTTTTGGAGGATTTAAACCCTTAGGAATTTTTCCTGTGATGCTCGTTTGATTCATAGGATTGGCATCCTTAGAAATTTTTCCATATGATCCATTTGCACTACATTTTGGAGGAAAATTTCCATCCACTCAAACCTCTTTGTAGAATTCCTTTGTTTTTTCTAATGCTATCAAACATTCTTTCAAATCCTGTAGGATACTATGGGACATGTCACCCTATTCCTGCATTTTTCCTATTCCTTCATTTTGAAAATCCTGTGAATCAAAGAGGCCCTAAGTTGTAAAAATTCAGATTGTGCTAGCAAAACCAACTTCTTCCTATCTGCCTAAAACTCCCTACAGTAATTCTTTTGACTAATGGCATGGGAAACTGCAACCACGCCAAAATAGAAGTCCACTTTACCCTCTAACTATTGGCTTGGCTCACTATTTTTGGGCTATCTGGAGCATTTTATGTCATGGCCGATTTCTGCAAGGACAAAATGGATGTAACCAAAAAATGGAAATAAAGTAATAGTGTAGTCCGTAGGGTGGTACACGCACATATAAATTTTGGTTTTACAAATGACAATGTACAACCTGTTCTTTACATGGGTCATTGGCTCATAGCCGTGGAAAACTGGAAAATAGTAGCAGTCTAACATATGGACCTTTATGGTACATGGCAGAATGCAGAGTATAAACATGTATGGAACGAACATAAGCGGTACTAGAATTCTTTGAATAAGGCACATAGTTTCCATCTGCATTATTTATATATACAGCTATTGAATAATTGATACTCTCTCCGTCCCAAAATTCTTGTCTTAGATTTGTCTAAATACGGATGTATCAAGTCACGTTTTAGTGTTAGATACATCCGTCTCTAGAAAAATCTAAGACAAGAATTTTGGGACGGAGGAAGTAGATAATATGGGCCTGACCAGAAAGGTGGGAATTTCTACCCAAATAGAAAAGAAAGAAAGAAAGAAAGAAAGATGGGAATTTGAGATATCTTGGATGGTTTATGCCGTCACTTCTCTTCTTAAATGACTGCCGGACAGAAGGGATTCCGTTATAAGTTTAGACAGAGTCAATATTTATATTAAGATATTGATAATTTTCTCTTAAACATTTAATTGATATCCCCATTCTGATGTTCTTACATTCTGGAAGAAAAAACCACAGTAGTTAACTTCTGCAGCAAAAGCTGCGAACATTCTTGTGCTAGCTTCCTGTTATGCTTCTTAGCACTAATACTAAACAAATAACTAAACTAACTTCATATAACTCAGTGAAGTAGTACTTTTAACCAATCGCATAAGAAACTTCAAGTCTGCGACTACACAAAATAAAGAAGCTAAAATTGAACGGATATTGTCTACGACAGTTAGGTTTTCCCTTTCCTTGTTAAATGGACCCAACAAATGTTTCTCATCTACATACAGCTGAACATGCCATTCACAGTAGCAAATGTCATGGCATCGAACTGAAGTTGTAACTAGCCTGAAGATTACTTTGATTTTCTAGCAATGCAGCTTGCCTATATTGGAGCTACTCCTAACCTCAGCTCACGTGGTAGGTGGTATGCACAGCAGAAGCTGCTGAACCGAAGCAACTCAAAGCCTAAAATCAGAATCAGCTGGTCTCCACTCTGCAGCAACTAGTTCGATAGATAGGAGATTGGGTAATAACGCTTTCAGGGCTATGCGTTTTGATTCCCGACTGTGAGTAGCCACATAGAGCCGCACCCGCGAGCTGGAACCTGAGCCACCGAACCCCACATAGCGAGGCGTCAGGAAGAGAAAGGGAGAGCGACGCGCACGGACCTGCACGGGCCGCTGCTCCGCGGGCTTGGCGGCGCCGTTGTCGGCGGGGGCGGCGGTGGAGAGGGCCGCGGAGGCGGAGGCGGGGGCGGATGCCATCGGCGAGATCTTCTTCCGGAGGGAGGCGAAGAGGGAGCGACGGAGCGAGGAGGAGGAGGCGGAGGCGAGGTTTAATGGCATGAGCCCATGGGCATGGAGAGGGACGGCCGTGGAGGTGGAGGTGGAGACGGGGGCGGCCAGATTCATGACAGGAGGAGCCGTGCGTGCGTGCGTCGCGCCGCCACCCGCTGTGCGGCGCCTTTTGGCGAGACGAGACTGCCAGGTGGGGCTGCGTGTGGGTTACAGTGAATGACGGGTGGGCCCGGGCGCGTCGCTGGCCCGCGCGTCATTGTGGGAAACTGCTTTCCGTTTGGTCGTCTGCTCGTTTGGGACCGGAGATGCCGCCGTATGTGATTCGAGGTCGGGGCCCTCGTCGGCGAGTGAGCTCTATGGCTCCAGTGTTGTCGCGTGCCATCGAATCTGGACGGGTTTTTGCTGACCGTCCGTAGTGGTGGGCCAGCAACCAGGCACTCGGCAATGCGTCTCTGTGAAGCCCCATGCGGCCTGTTGGGCTGCTCCATGCTCCTTTACCAGCCCAGCAAAGCACCGAACAGCAGAAGCCCATTTCGGTCGTCCCATTTCCCAAATCATTCGCCTCCCCCAAATCCGGCGAGCCAAAACGGCAAAACCCCACCTAAAACCTCGCCAGCCCCCGCCACCACCGGCGACGGCGACCATGCGCCGTCACCTCGACCTGCTCCCCCGCCTCCTCCTCCTCCGCCGCCACGTCCACCGCCGCGCCAGGCCCGGGGCCTCGCCGCCGCCGCCCCCGCCGCCCAACCCGCCGCGCCCGCCGCAGAAGCCCGAGCCCGTCACCATCCACGGGGAGACGTGGCACGACAGCTACGCCTGGATGGGCTCGCTCTCCGACGCCGCCGCCATGCGCCACATGGACGTCCACATGGAGGCCGAGGAGAAGTACGCCGAGGCCTGCCTCGCCGCCGCCGCCGCCGACCGCCTCGCCCGTAAGCTCCAGCTCGAGATGGCCTCCCGCCTCGCCTCCGACGCCTGCACGCCGCCCACTCGCTGGGGCCCCTGGCTCTACTACCGCCGCGCGGACGAGGGCAAGCAGTACCCCGTGCTCTGCCGCCGCTCCGCCGCCCTCCATGGGGAGTTCGTCTCCTACAGCGACCCCTCCGCGGGGTTCGACTTCACCGCTGGGAAGCGCATCGAACAGAAATTGGTGGATTACAACAAGGAGGCCGAGCGATTTGGAGGTAATTAAATTTGACCTTGCTACTATTCCAGTCGTCTCGAGCATGAGGGCTTCTGTTACACAGTCATTGTTATTTTTACCTTTCAAAGTGCCGTGTCAATGGCTCAATGCTATTTACATCTCTTAATAATTCATTGCTATTATTGTGTGCATTCATTCTGTTTTATGGACTCGATAGACTGAGAGGTTTGATATCCTGGTGAAGCAAATGTGAGGTTTGGTGTTTAATTGCTGTAGCTGTTGTTTATATTTGATTTTATCATTGGTATATACATTTGTTAGCAGGACGAAATATTTTCTTGACTTGCTCCTACCCTTGTTACCTAGTAAGTACTCCCTCCGTCCGGAAATACTTGTCATCAAAATGGATAAAAGGGATGTATCTAGATGTATTTTAGTTCTAGATACATCTCTTTTTATCCATTTTGATGACAAGTATTTCCAGACGGAGGGAGTACCTTTTTACCATCTAGGCATCTGCCGCGTGTTACCTTAGAATTACCAGAAGTTTGGGCATTTGTTAGTTAGTGCCAAATAAGTTTGCTAGGTTGTACTCCCTCCGTTCCTAAATATAAGTCTTTGTAGAGATTCGAATATGGGCTACACACGGAGCAAAATGAGTGAATCTACACTCTAAAATATGTCTATATACATCGGTACGTAGTCCATATTGAGATCTCTAAAAAAACTTATATTTAGGAACGGAGGGAGTAATTGCATAATGATACTGCAGTTGATCATTGATGTGCTATAAATTATTGCTAATGATAACTGGTGAACGTCAGCTGGGAGGGGGATGGCAAGGGAACTTTTTTTTTGTGGCAACTTTAGCTGGTAGGAGATGGCAAATCCTGCCCTTTTTTGCCGCAAAATTTATCTTCTTTCCATAAATTGCCATGCGTTTTGTGAAGAAACTGGCAACCCCATACAACTAAACTAGCGATCTAAAACGTTCGCAAATGCCAACCCCTCCCAGCGAACGTTTGCCAAATATTGCGGTCCTAAATTGTTCTCCACAATCATGATAGTACTTGATTTTTATTTCATTTTTGCTGTTTTAATTCTATGATCTTGCTGTATTGTTCTTGTATCGGCTTGTGATCTGAATAGTACAAATATTGTACACTTGCCAAATATCAAGTCGAAGGCTAATAAAGATACTCTGGTGCATCCCCACCCTGCCATTTTTTATGCTTTATGCACTTTGCCAACTCTGCACTAGAGAATACAGACATAAATACTTCATCTTTGGAGGAATACACTTGCTAAATCATTTTGGTACTGAAGTGGGCGCTCGAAGGTAGTTAGTCCTTTTTTAGTTCTGATTATTCATATTACAAAAGCTAAAGCCTATCGATATTATGCAGGATACTCATATGAGGAGCTATCTGAAGTTTCTCCAGATCACCGCTTCATTGCGTACACCATGTATGACAAAGATAAGGATTCTTTCACTTTAATGGTCAGGGATCTGGTGACGGGCACACTATGCGATAAACCTCGTGCTGATCGGGTCTCAAATATTTCATGGGCTATGGACGGGAAAGCACTAGTTTATATTGTTACAAATGAGGACAGAAGGCCATATAGGTTGGTGGATTTGTTTTTGTTGCGTCGGTTCATCTATGCTGTGCTGTATTGCACTGTAACTGAAGTTTTTCTTTGGTAGGCTGTTTTGCAGCATTATTGGATCAAACAAGGATGATATTCTTATATTGGAAGAACCTGATGAGAATATTTATTTGAATATCAGACATACCAAGGATTTTCGGTTTATAACGTTAAATGTCTTTTCTGACACACACTCAAAGGTTCTGCTTCTCGTACACCCTATCTTTATTATTCGTAGTTGGTCCCCTGTTTGTTACTCATTCAAGATTATCCTTTTGCAGGTATATTTAATAAGGGCTTCTGACCCCTTGTCCAGAATGACACTGGTATGGGAAGGTGAATCCCAAGTTCATTGCATTGTGGAGCATCATCATGGACGCCTGTATTTATTCACCGATGCTGCAAGAGAAGGTGTCTGTGTTAATTCACATTACCTAATGCAGTGTGATGTGGAATCTCCTGGGCCAAAGAGTTGGAAGGTTTGTGCTATGCATCTACTATGTCATGTCAAAGTTGTCCGAGTGCACCTGTCACGAAAAATGTTGCTCTGAGTTAATTGGGACAAGTGACTTTGTGCGGTCTATTTGACACTATTTTGATGTTTGAATTCAGAATGTCTTCCTTGAGGAACCAGGTATTATTCTTGAAGATGTTGACTTTTGCAATACTCATATGGTGCTTATTCTGAGACAAGGCAGAAAACTCACACTTTGTTCAGTTAATCTGCCTCTACCTGAAAATATCCAAGTAAGTCAATCTTCTTTTCGTATGATGTTATATACAAGAGCCTAAGTTGAGAAATGATCAAATGAATAATTATACATTTTCCTAGTGATGGCCTCCCACACAGTCTGTTACTCTTTCGGGAGTGACGACATTGCAAATCTTTGTTGTTCACTAAATTTACTCAGTCCGCAGTCATATAGCCTAATTGGATATCTGAAACTGAGCTATGATTCTCATCATTTTTAGCATATTTTCCTGTTATTGGCTATTCATATGCTGCAATCATGATTGTATATTATAGAACTATAACTTTTCGTATTCAATTCATTTCTCAGGTACCTGCTCATCTATCAGATTTTCACCCACTTGACTTGCCTCTTCCCGATCATGTGTGTCAGATTTTATCTGGCCCAAATTATGATTACTATTCCTCAACAATGCGTTTCACAATATCATCACCTGTGGTATGCATATCTGGCTGCTGTTTGTCTGAGCTCATTGTTTCATCCTTCTACACCATCGACACTGGGACAGTTGTTTTTCGTTTTGCTTTGCACAGCAGGGCCAAATTAGTTACTTATACTTTTTTTCTATTTTTATGAAGTAACACCATCTTTCTTACGTATGGAAATGTTGATTTTGGACATCCCATTATTTGGTTGAGATAACTGGCCTTCATTAGTTTATGTAAATACTACCCTAATTGTCTGAGTTGGCTATTTCTCATAGAGAAAACATTTACATGAAAAACTTAAGATGTATTAGCCCTAGATATCCTTTGGTTCTGAGTGTCACTGAAGGTCTTCATTTATAAAGTAGCACAGCAGATGAATGATGCTACAAATGTATTGTAGAAGAAAACATATCCTTGGAAGCCACCTTTCACTCTGCCACCTTCCCAACAGTACACAGTATTTTATCTACTTTGCAATTTAAATCATCTCCTACCATGTTTTCAACGTTATATTTTCTTTTTCTTTTGCGAATTCAGTGCTATGCTTTATTTCCTTTACAAGGTGGTTAAGTGCTAGCAACTTAGTATCTCTTGTGATAATCTGCTTGCACAGTTGTTCATTAGTACATTTCGTTATTATTTCTTATCGTTGTTTTCTGATATCTAAAGGGTTGACTATGGCTGTATCTTGATTTAATTGGCTTATGTAATTGTTGCCTGGCCGCCTATATGTAAACGTGCATTCATACACGATGTCGCTGTTATCCATACAATTAAACCAAATGTAACAAAAAGTTCAACATTATTCATTAGCTGGACTTTTTTTCTTAATATATTTCATGGTAATTAACAAGCAACCTGTTATATATCTACTATACTAGTTAAAAACCTTTTGCTCTATTGTCCTTAAGTTACAACCAACTATTAAACTGTTACTACAATACCACTCCACATCTGGGAAGGTATTGCTTGTGAGTTGTAGCACCTTAGCATTACATTGCTGTCAACTATCTTTGTGGATCTTCTTATTTTGCCATCATGTAATTTAGCGAACTAAAATGGATCAATCAAAATTCGTATTTGTCAGTGTATTTTATTTCTTAGCAGTAACCTAATCTTTCAACTTAGATGCCAGATGCAGTTGTTGATTACAACTTACTAAATGGAAAGTGGCAAATAGTGCAACAGCAAAACATGCTTCATGAGAGAACAAAGGTACTGTATGGGAATGCTTTTGCTTCTAGTGCGGGCAAGCTGTCTTCAGATGGAGCTGATTTGTCAAGTGAAGATTTGGGAGATTGTGACTGGAATGAGCTCTCTGAATACTATGCATGTGAGTACTATGATGTTCCATCGAAAGACGGAGTTTTGGTTCCACTCACCTTGGTATATTCAAGAAAGCACAAGCAAGAGGGGAATCCAGGATTGCTTCATGGGCATGGTGCCTATGGTGAGATTCTGGATAAGCGTTGGCGTAGTGAGTTAAAGAGCCTACTCGATCGTGGTTGGGTGATTGCATATGCTGATGTTAGGTACGTATAGCCTACTTTCTGGAAAAAGGCGTCTTTACCTCCTGAAACAGCAAATGAATTCTTTCTGAAAAGATACCATAGAGACAATTTTCCAGGTCCATATTGACTTCCGTTGTCCCACTGATAATATTTTCAGTGAGAAATGGATGAGTTTGACTGATTTTGGTTCATGTGAGCTTATGCCATCTTCAAAAACATGCCTAACATGCCTGCTTTTGCCTTTAGAGTTTTTACTGGCAACATTCGTATTGACTTAAAAATATATGGTTTCAGGGGCGGTGGAGGTTATGGCAAGGAGTGGCACCGGGATGGTGCACGTACCAAAAAGATGAATTCTATATATGATTTTGTCTCTTGTGGTGAATTTCTTCTTGAAAAAGGTATCATACAAGAAAATAAGCTTGCTGGATGGGGATACAGTGCTGGAGGACTTCTGGTGGCTTCGGCAATCAATACTCGTCCAGATTTGTTCCGTGCCGCTGTTTTAAAGGTATGCATGATTTATGTGTAGCAATCAGTATGTCACTCCATGTTCCCCAAAATTAGATGTCCATGCTAAAGTTTCAAACGAAGCTAGACTCAGTTTGGTTTGCTGAACTGTTCTGGGCTGTGCTTATTTTATAATCTGCTGTTGAAATAACCACAAAAGTAGGCAAAAGCTGATCAAACAAACGCTAAAATATGCAAAAGCGGTGGGGCAAATGCGATAATGATAATCCACTGCAATGCCAAATGCAGCCTAAATATCTGCCAATCACAAACCAACCGGCCCACACATTTCAAACTTACGTGCAGAATAACCTAGTGATTTTTTTTAAGCCCTTCCAGTGCGGTTTTCTTTGTCACTAGATATGATAGGTAAAAGCAACTAATGACCATTTTTAGTAATGGATTGCCTTCAGGCAAATTAATGTTCTTGAATGGTTTGCTGAGCTTGGAATGGCCATATTAGTCGTCCATTCTTGGTGATCTCCAAGATGTGCTATTACCGCATCTATTGTTGTTCATATTATTGATGATTCATTACCACAACTCACATTTTTCTTTCCCAGGTCCCTTTCTTGGATGTTTGCAACACTCTGCTCCATCCTATTCTACCTCTTACAGCCATTGATTATGAAGAGTTTGGGTTTCCTGTAGACCATGAAGAATTCCTTTCAATCAAGAAGTATTCTCCCTATGATAATATCCAGAAGGATGTCCCTTACCCAGCTGTGTTTGTGACATCATCATTTAATACAAGGTATGCATTACCGGGGTACAGAGTTATGCCTGGACCATTAGGATCCGCAGTATACTTGGCCAAACTTGCTAGTCCTCATTACTCCGTACCTTCCAGCATTATAGTCTGCATTCCACTCCTAGGTCAAAACCTTTTGATGCACTGCACTTAATTCCATTTTGCTCAAGTTATCTGCATCTGTAGTATACTACATTCAGAGATTAAATTGTAAGTTACCTGCATCTGTACTAATCTAAATTATAGAGGTTGAGTTATATCTGCATTTGGAGTATTTTACTAGAGCTATTGTAAATTGTCTGCATATGGGCTATTCTGCTCTGATCCTCCAGTTATTGTGTTTGACTAAACCAATTATTGCATTTGACAATGATAGGTTTGGTGTATGGGAAGCAGCTAAATGGGTTGCAAAAGTCCGTGAACTTACTCAATATGATCCAGAGCGGCCTGTAATTCTTAACTTGACAACAGATGTTGTGGAAGAAAGCAAGTATTTGGAAACCAAGGAATTAGCAACGGAGACTGCTTTCCTAATTAAAATGGTGAACAATACCTGAACAACATCCTTTGCCTTTCGGCTTCCGAAATTGTTTCTCAAACTCAATGATGCGGCCCATGTGGGACATGTGCTATGTCGCCAGTCCTCCATGTTTAACGAGATCTGAGGATTAGTCCATCGATTGGAGCTTATATGAGGTAACACACTCCTATTCTACTTTCTTACCAAGTAGAAATAACTTCTCTTCCAGATTCCAAGCACATTGATTGTAACACACATGATTGATTGATTCTCTCATCGACTTTCCAGATGTTCTAGGAAAATCATATGCACATATTCCTACATTATATGAGATAGCTGCCCACTCGAGCTATCTTAAATGGCCTGATCTCTTGCCACCACCGACCTGGTCTGCCACGGTTCTACCAATTGTATGATGTTATAATTGGATCATCTCAGTTGAACCATATCAGCGAAACAAGTATTGTTATCTTCCCCCCTTCCATCATGGAATTGACATCATATGTCATGAATTAGAGATGGAACACGCCGTCATCTACTCATTGGCACATTAAGTTAAATTAGGCCAAGATACGCATATTGTATATGGAAAGCTGATACTGCTAAACTGGATGCTAGGTAGGAGTATTGCAAACTCGATTCTTCATGGCCTTGGAGATGCACTGCTGCATAATAGGCGTGCACTATGACAGTGAGACCAGAACATACAACTCTTAGCAGCGGAAGCGCCAAATCAATCTTTCATCCTTTCACTGAAATTCAAATTCTCACAGCCTATGAACGCCTGTAGCAAAGTAAGGAATGAACAACGTGAACTTGGTGTGATAATCAGGGAGGGTGGAACAGTTGGATGACCATGTATACCATAAGTTTTTGTCGATCTGGGAACTTCTACCGATGAGAAGCTGGAAAGATGGTTGGTAACTGCAACCTTGCTTAGTCCCTCCCCCCGCGAGCCCCCGCGTCGCTCCCAGGGGCGACTCGGGAGGCGAAACCCTAGCCGCCGCCCAGGCTCCCCTCCTTCCCCTCCCTCCCCTCGCCGTCGCCGGAGGATGCCGGCAGGCAAAGCCCTCACCGGTGGACGGCGGCGGCGGGGCCCTCGTTCGTGTGCTCGTGCGCTGCTGCTGGGCTCGCTGGAGCGGCGGGAGCGCGCGGTGGCGCGGTGGGCGGCCGTCTGCTCGCAGGGAGGTCGAGATGGCGTGGACTGCGTGCGCGGTGGCGCTGCCATGGCGGCCGCCGGCCGCTGATGCGTGCGGCAGAGTTGAGGGCGCCCAGATCTGGGCCGCACGAGCCCGCCCAGGCCGGCGACAATCACTCTGCCCCCACCCACCCCTCTCCCTCCTCCCACCCCTCCCGGCCGCCGCCGGCGGTTGCCGCTGGGTTAGTAAGCACGCGCGCGGCGACCTTGACGGTTGCTGCTCCGCTGTGCCCCGGCGGATCCTGGTGGCGGAGGCTGCGGGCCAGCGCGGCGGCGGCGCGGTGCAGGTGGCTGCTGCTGCCTGCTGGACGCGCTCCCGGCGGTGGCCGGCCTGCTGGAGCTGCGCTGCTCGGTGCTCACTCCTGCGACGACAACGTTTCTAGGCTTCCCCCATGTGTGTTGGTCTTCTCCGACGATTCTTCGCCATGCCCGGTCTGCCATTGCATCTGAGGTCTTCGTCCTTGGGTCGGGGCGAAATCCCCGCGCGGCGACGGCCTGCGCTGTCAACGGCGACGCCCGAGGGTGCCGTCACCTCCTTGGAGGCGTTGGCATGACCCTGACCAGACCTCCTCCTCGAGCACCGGGAGAAATCCTAGGTCCGGTCTCCCGGACCGGGCAGCGGCGGCGTCTCAACGCCGTTCCCCTCTTGATGGCGCTGCTTTGGCTGCAAGTGGAGTACTTGATGCGGCAGATAGTGGTTGGCGATGCATCGCTCTGGCGTAGACTGCTACACAAGGAGCAGGTCGCAACATTTACCTGCGCCGGCGCTCCCCAATGAATGCTACACCAGTTCCAATCAGGCCCTGCTTTTCACCCGCCGACTCTCTAGGCACATGGGTGCGAGGTACGTCGGCTTGGGCGGTCCTGAAGCTGCATTCGTCCCTGGAAGTGCCTGGCAATGGCAGTGATACTGCCCTGTTGCTCCGAGTCTCGGTGCTTCGCCATTTTGGCTGGAGGCAAGGCTGGGCGAGGCCTAATGTCGTTGCGTGTCTGTAGTTGAGGGCACCTCCTCACCTAGCTGTAGTCACTTGGTGAGGACGGTCGTGTGTGTGTGTGTGCGTGCGCGTGTGTGTGTGTCCCTCCTTTCTGGAGGTTGTACCCCTGATGTCTTCCTGTTCAATGCAATGAAATGCAACTCTTTTGCGTTTTCTCGAAAAAGAAGCTGGAAAGATGTCAAGAGGCATGAAGCATTGAACATGGGGGATTCAGTTGGAGAGATATTACATCTGGTTTTCATTTTTGTAGCTTATTTGCACTGGTGATGTTGTTGCTCTGTATAAACCGTACTTCCATCCGGTGCAATTCGGATTAACCGTGGTTGACACCTTGCAGGCTCGATGACAAATGTCCATATATTTGTACAGTACCATTCAGAACTGGAAAAAGAAAGCTGGAGTTCAGGAGTTGTAATGTGAACGAAGTCTCTTTGATTTTTATTTTCTGTCAATCAGTATATTACCTTCTGATAAGATCAATGCCCAACACGGCGTGCAGTCGCGTGTAGCATCATTGTCACTATTACCTTGGGAGAGTTACCAGCGGCAACGGGAGATGTTGTGGTTCCCCCTTTTATTTCAAATTTGATAAAATTGAAATGGCTGTATAGAACCAACTGGATGTCCTATCCTTTCTTAACATGTGTAATTCATGGAAGCTTCCAATGTGAGGGCTCCGTCGTGATGCGAGGGCTCCGCATGCTGTTGCAGTGGTGCTATGAGTGTGCAGATAGTGCTAAACTGGAGCACTGTCGAAGACCCCGAGCATCACTAGTGTTGCATTGGAGCATCGCAGGGCCACCGGAGCACACCATTGTTGCAGCTCTCGCCGAAGCTACGTCCACGGCGCGGGGATGGAAGCGATGGCATGGTCCTAGTGAGGTCCTGTCATCAAGGAGTACGCAACGGTTGGTCAGGTGGCTGATATTTTACTTATCTTTTCCTAAGACCAGCGGACTGACGCCTAGCAGCCGCCTATTGTTAATCATAAACTTATCAAAACTCCATCCAAAATCCACTCCTAGCAAATCTTTGTATAAATTTCACAAAGTTCCAATACTTCAGAAGATTTCCTTTCGGTATTACCAAGTTAGTTGGGGTTATTTATGCTCAAAGATCAAGCCCAATTTTTAGGTAAATTACTAATTGTTAACTTTTTTTTACCACAGTATATGTGAATTCTAACGTCCAAATTTGATGGATCATTAATTTACAAGGAGCATTTTAGTCCTAAATTATCATCAGATCAGTACCTCACATGCACACACAAATGAGCACAATAAAAGGAAAGGAGGGACTATAAATTGGAATATTGTCCTGCGGAGAGCTGGACAGTTATGCTCGAACACCCAACAGTGGATGTAATATCCAACACCCCAACAGTAGGAGCAGGGGCGGAGCCAGGATTTAGACATAGGGAGGCCAGATCGACGATAAAGCCAGTTTTTTTTGCCTCACAAACTACCTAATAGTTTTACATCCGAGTATCATTCATCTTTCTCGGATGTCCCCGAAGGGACTAGTATCATTCATTTTAACTTTGCATAGACACACAACCTTTTGTGGCTGAATCAGACTAGACAAAGTTGATAATCAAACTACTCTGAAATATGGCATGAAATGCTACATGTCATATGTACAAATAAGAAAAATCACTGTATAACCGAATAATAGGTTTGAGTGGAAAATCATCACTGGTTCTATTATGTAACTTTGTTGTTGTATTGAAAAAAAGGTCAATATTACATGAATACATACATAGAGAATCAAACCCAATCTGTACTCGTCCCCTCTACTGCTAGGTCGAGGTAGACCGGCTGGTCGTGGTTGGAAGGTGCATGATTTCGAACGATTGCCTGTGCCCGAGCGCGACGCATCACAAATCACACATCTGATGTATAACAAATTAATGATACAAGATGAGAATTCAGAGAAGTAGACAGTGCTGGATTAACCTTGGCTAGATCATTGGCTGCAGGACAAATAATTGGCGAGTGAATTAGCTTGACTTTACGAATCAGATCATGAGAAGGGAGAGCCAAGGCGGGCGGCGACGAGGGCGCAGGACGGCAACAGCGCAGCGCTAATCAACACACGCGCTAATCATCATCGGGAATAATGCCCAGCGTCCAGGAGACTTTTAACGAAGGCCGATCAACAAATATGGCCTTGTCATGGGCTTGTAAACGATTGCTAGTGGGCTTTTACATTGGCCCTTTTTTCCTTTCTTCATAAATCATGTTGAGTTAGGGGGGGCCAATTACTTCTGTACTTGAATCATATCGCTAATTATCTACGGCCTACTCGATGTTTGCTCGATCGATAGGGGGGGCCAGGCCCCTGCTCGCCCCCCCTTGTCTCCGCCACTGAGTAGGAGTACATAATATCTCAGTGCAAACACATAAAAAGCTGATGGTACACATTGTCTTGCATAGAGTTTGAGGGGTCATCTTTTGATGAACATGCACCAAAATAGTCTCCAGATTCTCCATACTTTTGGTCTGCGGCCAAAACAGGTTTGGTCAATGGCACATTTCATAAAAAAACAGATATCACCTAGCTAGACGATAGAATATTATGGTGAATACCTATATATACAAAAAAAACTAATTATAAATTGGAACTGTACTACTAGTGTTAGGATCAAGAAGGAGAAGTGGATTTTGTTACTAAGAATTGTAGTTGGCTTTGAGTTCATACTAATTTCTTTTGATGACATGACATAACCTAACTGCAATGTCACAACTTATGCTATTGTCTCGCTATTCACTAAATCAATATATAGTCTACATTTGCGATGTTATTACCCACATCTGGGCTCAACTGTGATGCCTTCTACTCCCT